AATATTTCCAAGTGAACTCAGGGCTGAGAGAGAGAAAGTTCCTTTCAGGATGATTAGTGAAATAAGTGATAAAAGCCAGCTGCAAAATCTTCAGCTCTGCATCCCTCGAAGCACTTTCAGGTGATAGCAAGTGAGATTTGTGACAGAGCTCTGCATACAGCTTTCTTAAACCAAATTGTCAATGGTGGTGCACCAAGTGCTTGCTTCTAAATCCTTTATCCAGCTCTGTCTTGATTCCACAGTCAAGGGATGCCTCCAGCCTGTCACTATTTTGTGTGAGCCATTTAAACACATACTGGAAATTAAGGTTTGTGAAATTAAATTAAGGTGATTAACGCACTCTTGGTGCCAAAGGCACAACAATTATTCTTTAAAACGACAACAGACCTTTTGCAGTCAGAAATGTGCTGGGGACATGCAGTGAAAAGTGTGTGGTAAATGAATGTTTAATGGGAAGACATATAAATACCCCACAAACAAATTGGGATGAATGCTCATTGTTATAAAACAGCCCTGCATACGAATCAGAATAAATGTTCAATACAGAGCACACATTGTCTAATCTCTGCATAAGCTTTGTGCAAGTGAATCAGGATGAATGCTTGATAGACCTGTCACCTGGAAGAGCTCCAAGGATGCTTTTGGGATACATCCCTAATTATAAAAGTATACTTCAGGAAATGCACATATTTTGCTTCTGCAGAAGCTTGAAAGGTTTGGAGTAATAAGAGTTTTTAGTCTTTCGTGGCTACAGAAACCTCCATTGCATCCAGACATGTTCCTTGCCCATAGGAAGCCACCACCTTCTCCCACCGATCCCATATATCTGCATGTTTGGGTTGAATCTCAAGGTACGCAGAATAACAGAACATTAAGAACAACAACCTGAATGGGGCAAACATAAAACCCCACAAAACAATAATTTGTAATAAATCCAGGACTGAGCTGCCTGTACCAGTTACACAATGTTGACTCTCATCAGGAAAAGGAAAAGGGGCTGAGAAGAGACATTGGCGGCCTCCAGCCCTTTGTGGCTTGGAAGGGCATTGCTGGCTGCCTGGAACCCTGAACATCAGCCTTCCAGTTGGCAGACGGTGTGGATCCATGGCAGCACTTTGTTTCAGGTCACACTTGTACTGACGAGTTGAAATCCAGCCTGAAAACCACTTTTGTGCCAGTCTATATGCTAATCTTACTTTACTTCCTTATGGTGCTTTCCCACCTCCATATTCTCCCAGCACAGAATGCAACAGGTATGGGCAGGTTTACCTGTTGAACTCCTGTTTGGCATGGGGATTTTAAAGCCAGAGAATCCTTGCCAAAAAGATGGGCAAGTGGCTGTGATATAGGCCTCAGTGAGAATTTGGGGGCAGGCCTGAGCAGTTGGCCTTTTGGCTGCTCTTTCTGAGCCAGCCTTTCCCTTGGCCTGCCTCTCTTCATCCTGCTGTTGCGGCGTCTGTTTCATCTGCCAGTCTTGGCCGTGGGGAAGCTGAGGCAGAGTGGAGACAGAGCTTTGGCTGCATGATGTCTTCCTGAGCGCCACGCTACTCTCTTTTCTCTCTCGCACTCACTTGCTTCGTGGAGCAACAGAATATGCGTCCCCAATCTGTTTATGGTTTCAAGAATTCCAGCCCTGGAGGTGGTGGGGACAAAGGGTGGGGTGTCAGTTTGAGAGCCAAAGAGGCCTTAGCTATGAAACTTGGCATCAGTGTCTTTAAAAGAAGAATAAATAAATTAGTAGAACTTGCTCTGTGCAGCCCAATAGGCTGGTGGTTCTTTGCCATTGACAACATGCCTGCACAATAATCATTGGGCTCTGCCCTCGCTAAACTCCACACTGCCTTGGCCAAGTATTTTGACTTGTGTGTATGGCCCAGTTGATCTTGCCAGACATAGGAGCCAGCTCCCAGGGGCTGAGGTCCCATCACAGAATTGTAGGGTTGCAAGGGTCATCTAGTCCAACCCCCTGCAATGCAAGAATCTCAACTAAAGCATTCATGACAGGTGGCAACCCAACCTCTGTTTGAAAACCTCCAAGGAAAGAGGCCCCACCAATCAAATATTTGAGGGAACCTCCCCCCCCCCAGTTGATGGGCATTGCCATTCAAATGGTGTGTGTGTGTGTGTGTGCTGTGTCATGTGATTGATTATGTGTGACAGAGCTTACCTGGGCCCCTCCAATATTTTATTTAAGTCGGCACCCCGTTCCCAGGCTTTGCTCCCTGAGGACTTACTGTTCTGTGTAAGAAGAAAGGGAGCCATTTTTAATCACACACAAATTTCCATGGCAATAATTTCCCCTCTTTCTTTCCCTGAGCTCTATTCCTTCCATATAGGGGTGCAATCCACTGGGAAACTTCCTTTGAAGTTACCCTCCCCATAGCCTGCTTTTAATGGTGCTGGAGTTTTTTCAGTAATTTCCCATGGATTTGTAGTTTGGCAGTTTAAATCACCTGCCCTGAAAGCTCTTGCATGTGTGAAATAGGGAAGGTGCTAGTCCTCATGACTTATGCAAATATATTCAAACAGGTGCCAGATGTCATGGGCTGTTTGGATGCAGAGGAATGGTGGGAGGCACCCCCTTGGAACCCCCAGGGGTCATCATCATGATTTATTACGGTCAAAGACCAGCTCGAAAAGCACAACTGGGACAGCTTTCACAAGAATAAAATATACATTTAAAGCAGTGTACAACAACAGCTTAAAGATTAAAATCCAAGATAAGCACATAAACACATAAAGACCTAAAAATTTGGGCTACCATACAAATTGGCCCTGACACCCTGGAGGCCGACGATGAGTGGACAGAGGGAGAAGATTGGGAGGAGGAGGTGGCAGAAGCTGAAGAGGCAACAGGGCTTAGTGAGAAGGGAGAGACTGTGGCAGAGAGAAGTCCAGGTGCAGAAGCAGAAGCTGGAGTGGGGGGGGGACGGGACAAGAGAGATCAAGAGGCAAAGATGAGTTAGGCTGGTGCAGAAGCATGGGTGCGTCCCCCTCCCAATGGTGTGCAGTGAAACTTTTTCACAGAGGAACAATGAGGGCCAGTGGCACCAACTTGAGGGGCTGATGTCGCATGTGTGATGTCCCGTGTGTATGCATTGCACCTCCCTCTCTAAACCGGGCAGAAGATTCCCAGACTTTGTGAAGGAGGCATCAGGCTTTAATACTGTAATACTCTAATTTACTGGGAACATTTTGGGGGCAAGCCTAGACCCCTAGTCCACTGCTCCCTCCTACTGCAACATGCTCCCCTCCCCACTGGTCTCCCAGGGCTAGGGAAGGGCATGAAGCGGGAGGAGCAAAGTCAGGCACACCAGTGCAGTCTCAAAATGTGGGAGGGGAGGAGACTTAGGCATCTGTGGAAAAGCAGACAACCTTCCAAAGAAGAGTGGTTGTGCTCATTAGCCTGGCACTCCTGAGCAGATCCTGTTTCTTCTGATAAAGAGTTAACTTCACTTGCTCTGTGGGATTTATTGCTGGCTCACTCCTGACACCAGCAGCCCTTGTCCTTTTCTAAAGTGAAAAGTTCCAGATCTAAGCCTACCTGGCAGCAACTGGCCCAAATCCTGTATGTGTGAGAGAGGTGGGCTAGTCAATAAAAGTACAGGTAATGGTGTTCTGGTCCTGCTGAGACCTTTTTCGTTGTTTGCATTTTCCTGGGTTGACTCCAGTTGTGTAGTACTTCTGGGCCTTTCTTTGTAGGATTTCCAGGGCTTCTGGGGCTCATGGCCTACTTCAAAAAATAAAGCACACGCACACACACACTTCAATGTGTCTCCTAACTGATCTTCCTTGTAGGATTCGTCTTCCAAAGCAACTACTCTATTCCGAACTTAAAAATGGAAAGCATAATGCTGGTGGTCAACAAAAGAGGTTTAAAGACCCTCTCAAGGCAAATCTTAAAATATGCAGTATAAACACTGACAACTGGGAAACACTGGCCTGTGAACGCTCCAGTTGGAGAACAGCCTTTACCAAAGGCGTCCTGGGCTTTGAAGACACTCAAACTCAGGACGCAAGGGAGAAATGTGATAAGAGGAAGGCATGCTTGGCAAATCCACACCATTATCAATTCCTGTCCAGAAACCAATGTCCCCACCATGGAAGGACGTGTGGATCCAGAATTGGCCTCCACAGTCACTTACGTACTCATTGTTAAAACCGTGTTTATGGAAGACAATCTTACTCGGCTACGAGTGATCACCAAAGAAGAAGAGACTACTTCTACCTACATTGGCGATGGCTTCTGACTCATTCTCTATCAGAGAGAGACTACAACAGGTAGGGAAAGTTGGGTTGTTTTAAACTTTCCAAAGAAGAGAAGGCCAGGGATGGGCCCTGAGGCAAACAGCCAAGCTTTCCCTTTGCTTCCAACACCCTGGAGACCTTGACATACAATGTGGCATAATGGTTATAGAGTGCCAGACTGGAACCTGGAGTACCAGGGTTCAAATCCACACTGAGCCATGAAGGTGACTGGGTGACATTGAGCCAGTCTCTCTCTCTTGGTCTAACCTACCCCACGTGGCTATTGTGAGAACTAAAAAACAAAACAAAGAGCTGATGGGGGAAAAGAGCCATGTACTGTATATGCCTCAAACTCCTTGGAGAAAAGGTGGGGCAAATATCTGGGGTCCAAGGTTCAGAGCCAGAGTCCTCATAGTCCTGCTTCTTGACCACTCCTTTATGCTTCCCAAGTGATCTTCCCTGGCGTGGCCATCACCTGCTCTCCCTTCCTCACACCTTCCCTGTTACTACAAATCTCTCTCTCCAAAGCTTTGTCTTGAAGTGGTGAAAACTGTATCTCATGTTATAGATATCTATAGCCTCCATTTTGAGCAGCCTTTTGAGTTCCCTGCATACAGAATTTTGATTGGCTGGGTGCTGTGTGTGTGTGAAAAATTCTGTTCATAACCCAACAAGGGAACTGGTGGGTTTATGAGCAGAATTCCTCCCTCTTTCCCCCAACCCGAGCTCCCCACAATAAACAAAGACACATTCAGCTGGAAGATCAGGGTGGTTCCTTTTATTGCTATGTTCCATGATAAAGTTAGCACAAAAATCACAGACAGTATATAACCTGCACTGGGCAGGACTTGAGGGGTAGGAAGCGAAGGAGAAGGTCTGAGACAACACTGGCATTGAGACAACACTGGTGGACTTAAAGCTGAAACCCTGGAAGACTGTGTTTGGGTTCTCCCACGGCTCTGGCAATGCAGGCGTGAGTGTGCATGCAAGAAGATGGAACAGTTGCTCTCCCAGTGAAACCTGGCCCTGAGCAGATGAGACTTCTGATAGCCACTCGCCCCTCAATTTGCAGGAGGGTGCTGGGCAGACACTTGGCACGTTCACAGATCTGGAACATCTTAATGATGGCAGCAGCAGCAGAAAGAGGTGGTGGTGTTTGGAAAATCCCTAATTTTGGGCCCAGTTGCAAGGGAAATAACTCTCACAGTTATTATGGAAACTGGAACTGGTGGAACTGGTTGGCATTCTCAGGCTTAAAGAGCACAGCAGTTATTTCATCCTCAGAACTAACCATTGTTAGCAAAACAACTTCTCACCTCCTAAACCATGTTGACATTCCCCATCCCCAGCCATTCAAGAGTGGAAAGCACTGGGTTCTTGGGCCCTATTGCCTTTGCTCTGGCTTGCAAATTTGTAAGGGAAACACAAAGGGGTGTAAAAATCCTGTGCAATAGCTCAGAATGTCAGGTGAAGTGGTCTGTAGTCTTACGATCAAAAGCAAAAAGAGACTATTTAGATCATTAGCATAGGCCAGCAAATTCCTCTCCAATCATTATATGAGTAAGGCAGTTGCATTTATCATCACTTAGGAAAGGTGGTTTGTTTTGGTCTGGGACAGACAGGAAATCAATGGCCCCACTTTGGCAATCTGTGCCAGAAGCTAATGGCCTTTGAAAAATGAAGAAAAATCTGGCCAGATTTCAGCCCTTCCATCCATCAGGAATCCCAGGACTTCCATCTGCTTTATCAAAGGGTTAGTTGTTACTTGCAGCGTGGGGTGGGGCAGAGGTTGTTTTCAGGAGATGAACAGGAGAGGCTGTGTTACATAGCTAAGCAGTAATAGGGGAGAGATGAAGAACCGACAAGAGCCGTTACAAGGGGGAGGGGAGTTTGGCAAAGGATATGCAGCTCCTAGGTCAGGTGAAAAGCTCAGCCCCAACCAAAAACCAGTACATAGTCCAGAGCTGTAGAAACCTACAATTTGGTGCCTCTTCCAGCTGGGAAAAGAATTTGTCCCTGATCCCCTTACCCAAAGTGCAATGTACATAGGCAGGAGGTAGGGACCAGGAAGGATGGACCATAGCATGGAGCATGACCCAATCTTCAGCTGGCCCAAACTGATTAAGAATGGTAACTCCCATCTATTGATTATTTCCCAATGTCCTATGCTAGGAACCTTGGTCATTAGCAGCAGAATATGACTCAGAAAGCACAAGGTGTCTACAGAGTCCCAGCAACTGTTGGGTTAACACCCAGAGCAATCTGTGGCAAGATGTTTTAACACCTGCAGAGAGAGCAGGGCTGGACCAGGGGGCATGCAAGATTCCTCAGAAAGAAAGAATCAACAGACTTGCTGGTAGGACAGTGGGGTGGGTGGAGAAAATCTGAAGTATCTCCTGGAAATGTCCAAACAACTCTTGAGATCCAACCAGTTCTGCACCAGCACCTAGTTCCATTCCAAGGTGGTGTTCACTGCTGAGTGAGTCCCTTTGTTATTTAAATTTGTGTTTCTTAATACAATATTCCCTCTTCTTCCCATACAGAGTATTTTGAAAGATTTGCATTTTGTAGCCAGTTAGCAATGCATGAAGGCTTCCTCTTCCAATAATTACTGGGGAATGGGGGCAGGGAGAGAAGCTATTGTTTCCATTTGAGGAGTGGTGGTAGAATTAAAAACAAAACAAAACAAATTCTACCCCACTTATACAGTGCTCAGACTAAAGTTTATGTGGTTGTGTGTGCATGCAAAAACATTTAAAATATTGAAAAGATGCTGTTGTAAGAATTCATATAGGCAAGTGTGTGCAAAATGCAGAATGGGAGTCCATGTTAATAAAGGTTGTTGAACCTGAGCAGCCATGAGCATAAGAAATAGGATTGTAAGGTTTAATTTTAGGTGCTGAGGGCAGATTTTGGTTGCTGGGACTGAGAACAAACAGCACATGTCTTTTGAGGCTATTTTGGCTCTGATGCTGTGCCATAATAGGAAATGATAGAGGAAAGCATTAAAATATGACCTTTCATTAGAACAGGGAGTCACAGATCTTATACTTACAATGCAATACACATCTCAAAAAGGCACCTATATTGAGATTTTGGTAACATGCAAATATATTTAAAACGAATCATTCAAAAGGCATGTGATTAAACAACTGAGAATTCCATAATCAGCAGAAGTTTAAAAGCAAACAACTTGATAGAGGAGGAGGTGGAGAAGGTTTTCCAAAGCGCTTGCCCAAATAAAATTTGCTGGTGTTAAAGAGCATTTTGTTAAGAATTGGCAAATTTGTTATGTTGGCAAATCTCCTGCACATTTCAGGAAAGAAATTGTATGCAACTTGCATGTAGAATGTCATGTTTAACAACTGGTATTCTGCTGTGAACCCAGCAAGATGAAACACGTGTAATCAGAGGCATTCCTAGGCTCCCTTGCACCCTTGGCAAAGAGGTCCACCGAGGCACCCAGAGGAGTCGACGTGCCATGCCTGGCTGCCCAGAGTAATGGAGGGGTGGCCCAGGGAGCGGGCAGATGGGCAACGGGGCTCCTAGGCACTCTGAGCCAGAGTCAACAGGTGTGAATTTTGCCCCCCTGGGCAAGGGCCAATTTAAGTGACCTGTAGGTATGTCTCTGCTTGTGACTTGTCAGATGTGGTCCACAAGAACATTGCATGCTTTTTCTTGCTTGAAAGAAAGCATAACCACTTGAGTCCTGCTGGATTGGACCTCAGGTCCACCTTAGTCCAGCATTCTGTTTTCAACAGATGGCAGGCAGATGCCCTTGAGATGCTCACAGGCTGCTCATGAAGACAACATCCCTCCTCTGTTCCTCAGAGTGTGCAATTTAAAGGTATACAGCATGTGACCATGGAGGCTCTGTTTAGCTTTCTGTGCAGGAATTTTGTCATGCTAGGAGGTGGTACCTATTCTGTGAAGTATCAGTTAACACATTAAGTGCACGTTATACATTAGGAGTGTAGACAAAGCAAGCTACACGCAGCAGAGAATGGAACAAATCACTCAAGTCTTGGCTAGTGCAGCGAACACAGTGTAACCCTCATAATCCTGTCCACATTTCCTCCCCCACTGTTATTTGCTACACTGACTTCCCTCCCCCACCCACTCCACACAACCCCCCCCCCGCTACAATTTCCAAACACCCCAATCCCCTGTAGCATGAGGTTGGCTTGTTATGCAATTTAATCTCATTATATATATATATATATATTTATATGTATGTATGTATTTATGAAACAAATATAGACATAATATTTATAATTTTGTCACAAAATAAAATTCTGTGATTTCTCTCTCTTTGTCTCTGCTTTTTTTTACAACCTGCAGAAATATTAAGAAAATTAGATATTTCTCTTTCTTTTATAAGTGCTTCCATTAAAAATATACACGCGAGAAGCTTTTTGTACTGTTAAAGTTATGCTTGTTTGAGATATATGTATCAGTATGTGAGTTTATCACTCTCTCACACACACATACTATCTCTTACTCTGTCATAGAAAATGTGCAAATTAAAAGCGTAGCAAACATATTTTTTTTGAGGGGGTGTGGGAGGAGAAGCTAAGCATAGAGGGATACCAGCTACTTGTTTCAGAGACAGGAAACTGGTCAGATCCTGTCAGGCAGGGTTAAGGGATTTTGAGTATAATCTTGACTTGGACACACAGGACACCTGGGTTCCTTACCTAAGTTAAGGGAGAATTCCACATGTCATCTCACCCCACCCCACTCCAGCAATCAGGAAGAAAATTCCCACAAATCATTTCACAAGTTGGATTTCAGAGTCCCAGCGCTCCTTAAGATACACTGGCGCAAGGGGTGGGGCACCTGCAGAAATGTTGGCCATCGAGAACTTCCGCCTCCCACGGTTGACATGCTGTTCCCGCCAATCAGCTGTGTGGGCACCAATGAACATGGGTTGCCACTATTTGAGAACACATCTGAACCTCAAAAAGGGACCCCCCTAGTTGTCACATGAATGACCCAAACAGTGAACCTGGAGCAGCCAGCAAGTGTGCGCAGCCAATCCCAGTGCCTTGACCATTGTACCTAAATGGTACCCAAGTTTGCAAACACCTGTCTGTCAGGTTCAGACTTTACATTTTTAGGTGTATGCCCCAGAAATGTAGCACGTGAGGGAGTCTAGAGGCTGAGGCCTGGTGCACTTTTCCCCTTGATCAGTCTGCCATGTCTGAATAATAGAGTGACTTGATAGCAGGGAGCCTTAGGAGGTGTTGGGAACCTGCAGGAGGCCAGAAATTTACGAAAGGGGTTTGTTCTTTGCAGGGGAAGACAGAGGGGTTGGCAATACCTCAGAGTGAGTTTGAGGAAACTTTCTAGTGCTATTAAACACAGTTTCCCACAAAGCGCTCCAAAGATTTATGCCATCCTGTGGCAGAGATTATGCCAGGGTTTGCTTCTGAATCAGATGCTAGTATATCTGAGAGCAGTTCTGTGCACCTGGGCGAAGTCAGGGGCATAAAAGAGTTCCTTTGTGCACTGTAAACCTCAGCCCAAGGGCCTAGCTGCGGCTGGCTGCTTTACAAAACGCTTCTGTTGGGGCAGAGGAATGGGCTTCCCGTAACACTGTGGTTGGTCAAGGAAGTGGGCTCAAGGAGGGCAGACATTATGCCTTGCCTCCCCGTGGGGACGGCAGGGCTATTCCACACAGGCCATTGGAGGCAGGGAGGGGTACGTCTGCCACCTCATCGCAACAGGGACCCAGCTGCTCACCACAAGCTGCTGCATATGGCTCCCCCACTTGCCACTGTGGGTCGCACCCAGGTGTCCTGGTCCACAGCACCCCTTTTTAACCCCTTCCTGCTTCTTTTGACTGTCTCCTCTCACAGAGCAGGAGTGGAACCCAGGCGTCCTGCATCTAACCCGTTAAGATCCCAGAGAGCTCTGGGAATAAAATTCCAGGACTTCTGGATCCCTTTGGGTGGGAGGGAATTCTCCCTCCTGTGTGTTTGGCTAAATATAGATAGGTAAGAGATATATAATGCATATATAGAAATTTAAAATATTTTATCTTTAAAAAATAACTTTTCTTTTTTTAAAAAATGTAAATCTAAGGCTCTCTCTCCCCCCCACTTCCCTCCCCCCACCCCCCACCCCTATGGCCTTTAGGACCCCCACCCTCCACTCAGAGATCTGAGGGGCTGGCTCACCCAGCTGGGCTTCATTCTGGCCCCTGAGAGGAGAAGGTGGGAAGTGAATAAAGAACCAGCAATACCTTTCCCCCCAACAAGCAGGGAGCACTGCCCCCCATTCCACACATGGCAGGTGAACTGTATCCCATCTCCCCCTCCCCCCTCCCCCCAATGGCAGCCAGGGGTTGAGCGGCACAAAGACCTCTTGTGGCCTCTTGTTGCGGGAGAACAGTGGACGAGCATTGGTCACATGACGCTCTCCAGGATGACTGCCTTGCTGCCCCCATCGGAGGCAGGAGTCAAGGTGGTCAGAACGCCAAATTCTGATTCAGGCACCTTGTATTCCAGATGGTGCAACCCCCAGATCGGCTGGGTGAGGTGGTGCCAGCGCTGTTGAGTGGAGAGAAACAGACAGTGAAGACCTGTAGAAACTCAACAAATGCATGCTTTTTTGCACATAATACATTCTCTGTGCCCTTTACTGCTAGAGACATTGACAGTCTCATAGCCAATGCCCCCAGCAGCACACTAACCTGACATGGCATTCACGTACTCTCTCTCTCTCAAAGGATGGCCAAGGCTTCAGCAGTGCTGCTCTCTTCCTTGCCCCTTCCCACCACCAACACCTAACCTTAAACACACTGTGCTTACATTTTCTCTTAACTTTGCAGAAGTTGGAATGTTTCTGTACTTCCCCCATCATGTCAGCAGAAGAGTGAACAGCTACAGAAGACTCAAAGTAACTTCAACTCAAGCCAGAGCTCTCAGAGCAAATTGTTACGGTGGCAGCAATCCCTGCAGTATCCCTTCTCAGTATTTTTCTTTTTTTGGTTGAGTTTTTTTGAGCCATTCAATGTCAAAACTACCACTTTTCTGTTTATATGCTTTAATTTGATATTTGTCTCTCTACAGCCTTAAGATGATTCTCCAGATCTGCCTTTGACAAAATGGACAGGCAGGCAGGCAAGTGGGTGGCAATGGGATGTTTTCCCAAGCTTACACTTCTCTTCTATTTTTGCATCTTACAGCTATTGTGCTAAAAATGGCAGAAGCACCGAAAAATAAAACTAGCCTGGCTAGATCTGGGTTAAAGGGCAATGCACTAAGTGAACTGAGAAGGCTCCATGTGCCTAAGAAGTGACTCAAATTCTCTAAACGAAACAAGCACCAGCATGTCTGTAGGACTCTCACTGATGGTATCAGATCAGCAAGCAGCCCAGGCAGCACGGCACGTCTAAGCCACGGCTGCTGAGAAGCATCTCAGGAGGGAGGAGCTGGGGGGGGGACCAAAGGAGGAAAGGAGAGGGCTGGCTGCAGGCTGTGGCCATAGTAGCCTCTGCAAACTGATCAGATCACTGACCTGGACAAGTCACTATAGGAGCAGGGGAGCAGCGACCCAAAGAAATCAGGAGCCCTCCACAGGCAGCGCTCAACAGGGTCTGCTGGCAAGGGGCAGGGGCCCTTCTGGCACAACTCATGGCTGCTGCACACTGGGGCAGGTGGGCGTTGAAGCATGGATGGCTTCAGCACATGTCTGCAATCCTCATGGGCTAGAGTGCTTCAGCATGCATTGCCCCCTGGCACACCCCTGGTCATGGTGTGGGATGTTCACCCTCCAGGCTCACCCCCCCCATTTGAACCTGGGAGTCCTGGGTCTCTTCCATTCTGGAGATCTGGGAAGCAGCCTCACCTCAGCCAGTGTCCCCTTGGCACGGATGAGCTTGTAGAGAGCAGTAAGAGGGACACACAGCATGGAGGATAGTGCGAAGCCCCAGCCGATGGCTTCTCCCCACCAGGGGTAGACGTAGCTGTTGTTGTAGATCAATGGCTTGTAGTAGGCAACATTGAAAAGAAAGACGCCCTGGAAAAGTGGGGGTACGGGGGGGTTGAGAGGTATCAAGTGGTTGTCTGGTGCAGTCAGGTTTGTAACCCCACCTCCCCTCCAAACCTTTCAGTTTTCCTTTCTTTTCTTGCTTAGAATGAAAATGTTGGTATCCCTCTTTAACATTTTGGCCATGTTCTGGTGAATGGATCTATCTCTAGGGAGCATTCAAGTTGTTCTCTAAGGTGTCCACACATGGGGTTTTTGCCATCATGGCTCACACAGCTCTACATACCCAATCAGACACACGGGAGGCACCCAAGATTGCAGCCACTTCCTTCGGGTGACCTTACTTTGTGGACAATGGCGGCTTGCTGTCACAACTGTTGATATAAGCAGGTTTTCCAGCTGCAAAAAGCTGCTCACAACAGCAGCAGCACCGGGGTATGGAAAGCGATTGGGAGCATTCAATGTGATCCTTTGAGAGTGCACTATATAAGTGTGGATGCCTGAGTGTGCAGACCCATGTTTGCCACTTGCAGGAGGCAAAGTGTATTGGGACAGATTTAATATTCCCATTTTGCAGGCATGAAGGAAGGCCAAGAGCCACAGCTGAGCTGGAATTTGAACCCAGTTCTCTGCTAGGTTCCAGGGCACCTCTACAGATGTTGCTTGTCAGATCTGTCATGGTGTCTGCCCAGCCTCTGTGAACAAGAACTCACACCTCGCCTCTCTGTCAATGTTACATTTGTATGGAATCTGTTTGGAATCTGTAGAAGTCTAGCAGCCATTACCTCACCGGTAAGGGTTCTTAGATTTCAGGTGTGAAGCATCAATATTTTGATGAGATGAGAACTTTGGTTCTCCCACCCTCATGTGAGGCTGCAGTCCTGACCCACTGGGCACAGCCAGGCACTGCCTTATGACCCACTAGGTGTCATTACCCACCCTCACCAGGCTGTACCTCATTCCACCAGGCCTCACCTCTTGGCACCACCCTTTAGCTCCCAAGCTCCATAACCCGACAACCCAAATCAGCAGTGGCACCAGGTGGGGGAAACATCTGAAGTGGTGGTGGGGCAGAGAAAGAGAGCAAGAATTGGGCACATGTGGTTCTATGGGGACAGA